CCTGTTTCGGATCTTGCTCTCATTGTTTCCATCCAGCATCTACAGATTCGGGAGCTAGAACTGTGAGCTTCTCAAGAATTCATTTCGACTCAACTGCAACTACTAAAATTAGATATCAATATCCCTTTAGAGATATTTTCTTTGACAAAGATGGCACCTTGACTGGTAAAGGATCAAACACATGGGCTACACCTTTCTGGTAGCACAATGTTTAGCCAGAGTGCGAAGTTAATCTAGAAGTATACGATGGCATTCTTTGTGACTCAACTATTCAGATTAGAAGAATGGTTCACTATAACTACGCTCCAAATATCTTTGAAAATATGGAAATGAAGGTCCTTAAATTCGATAACAATCTCTACACTAACCAAACTTAATATATTGAAGATAGAAACCTTACTGGTGATTACTCTTGGATTCCTTTCAGACCTAAAATAAACCCCAAAAATCATTGGGCTTTACCTTATGTTACAGGTCACAAGTATAAAGTTCACTGGAGATTTGGTCTTGATTTCACTCAAATGCAAATTGATTTGTCCAACAGATGGAAATCTACAGATAAAGATATTTATGTAGTCTATAATTTCACTGATACCAGAGCAAGAGTTGATTTCATTAGCGGAGGTGTGGTTAATGACAATGCTACTATTTTAACAAAAGCTCAAAATTTATGGTAGACAGGAGACAATGTAGTATACAATGATACTAGTGTAAGAGAAATTCATGCAATCTTCAATGGAAGAAACAGCTCTAGAGATTCTCTAGTTATGAAAGGTTACAGATGTAATGGTCCTTGTCTCACTGCCATTGATGAAGTGGCAGTTGAATCTACATTTAGAAGATGGAGTGTCCCTGCTTCTTGGCCAAGTGGAAAGGTTCCAACAGATGGAGAAACTGTGGTAATTGAAGCTGGCTGGAATATGCTCTATGATGTAGTTAACGCTACAGGACCTATTCTAAAAATGCTCCAAATCAATGGAAGATTGACATTTGATAATGAAGAAGAAGTTGGAAAGAACTTGTATCTCTATGCTAAGTATATCTTTGTCAGAGCAGGAGCCCTCATCATTGGTAATGAAACTAGACCATTCAGAGGAACTGTCAACATTGTGCTTTATGGTGAAAAAGCAAATGAACAGATAGTATATGATGAAGCTATAGAAGCTGGAAATAAACTTATCGCTAATACTGGAAATATCTCTATCTACGGACTACCAAGAAATAAAATGACTAGACTTTTAGAAAGTGTATATAAAGGCAATAAGACATTTAAGGTAGAATCTGGTCTTGGATGGAAAACAGATGAGAGAATCGTTTTAGCTGCTACCACACTTAGATATCATGATTCTGATTACGCGATAATTGATACTTATGATAATGCAACTGGAGTTCTCACAATAAAAACAGAATTAACTGCATACCATTATGGTGCAGCAACATCTACTGGACCAAACTATAATGGAGTTGATATGAGAGGAGAAGTTCATTTATTATCAAGAAATGTTAGAATATAAGGAAACAATACAGAAGCATGGGGTTGCTAGATTGTTACTAGTGACTTTGTTGAAATAACTGCAGTAGTTAGAATGGGACACACTTACATGAATAATGTTGAAATTTATAACTGTTCATAATATGATACTTACAAAGCTGCAATAAGATTCTAAGGTAATGGCAGAATGTGGAGTGAGATTGCCAACTCTGCCATTTATGGTGGATGGGGTTATGGAGCTTAATTTGAAAATGCTGCCAATGTGAAACTAACTAACAATAGCTTCTATTTCTTTGTAAAGAAAGGAATAAATATCTAATCTAGCTCTGTAATTAACACATTATGTTCTTAATTTAATTTTAGAATATTACACTTGATGGAAATCATGTTATGCACATCTTAGAAAGAGACTTTTTAAAGGCAGATACGATCTTTGAGCCTACTGGATGTATTTTAGCATGCACGGAGCCTGGAGATGTTTGTTCAGATTTGAGCATAGTAAACAATGTAGTTTCAGGTTCACCATTCACAGGATTCGCTGCTTATGGATATGCATGTGGAGAAACTAACTCCAAAGTATTCAGAGACAATATAGCTCATTCTGTGAAAGACACTGGTGTGATTATCTTTGCAAACTAAAGTGATCCTAAACAATTTACTTGCACTCAAGCATCTAAATTCACTGCTTACAAGTGTGGTCTGGATGGAGCAGTCGCTTTTAATAACTAAGCCTATAAGAAAATCGTCTTTTCATAAATGACCTTTATCGATAATGGATTCGGTGGTACACCAATGGTTGCTTTTGAAGGAGATGATTTGGCAGCTGAAGTGTAAGATTCTCTATTCTATGGAGAGACAGAAGCTAGAGATTGCTTGAAAGAAAACGAATGCTTGACAACTAGTTCAGAAGCCTGTAAAGATAAAACAGCTCTTTAGCTAGCCTACTACGCCAAAGCTGGAAAGGATCCTTTACCTAAGAGTTTGGTTAAGATTCCAATTCATAAGATTAAATCTGATGCTTCTTATGGAGGAAAAACAACCTATACAAATCTTTAATTCTTCAACTACAAGAGCAATAAAACATATTGTGGAATGCAATAGGTTCTTTTTAGACTTAACCATTATGCTGCTGATTATATTCCAAGAGCAAAGTTTATAAAACCAAGATTTGAAAATATCCATTAGGATGCTATGGCATATCTATTCACTCCACCTGATGCTTGGGCTAACCTTGATGATTGTGGAGACTTCCCATGCACAGCTCCTAATAATGCTCTCCTTTAATTTGAAAGCGCAACATATGCAGGTACTATTAAACCCTCAAATACTGACAAAACATTCTAAATCCTCCCTAACAATAAGCCGACAGTCTAAGGATATAGTAACTGCAAAAACTATCCAACATGGAATGGCTACTACTGCACTAATGATAATTTGGGAGTGCTACTATTCGAGAGTATTGATGATGACAAAATGAAGAGAATGATAAGTCCTATTTTCATAGTAAATAACCAGACTTCCTCAAAGAATACTTTGAATACTTTCATGGATCATATTTGGGATGGATTCTACACTGGTTAATTGAGATTAGCAAGATGGCCAACTACTATTGAAACTGGATAAATCAATGGAGTATTTAGGACATATGACATTAAATATTCAGGCACTCCTCCTTCCAATCAAAGATTCTCACTTTATGCTGACGAGTCAGCTGTGATTCTTAGAATAGATTACACCAAGCCAGGAGCATATATTATCACAGACTTTAGTGGAAAAACTATTGACGCTAACAAATGGAATGACAATCTCAAATAACTAGATCCAATTAGAGGACAAAAATGCGGTGAGAATCGTTACTTGGGAGTTTTAAATATACTCGAATTCTTTATGCCAGCTGGTTGTCAACTAATGATCAAACCAGTTGATTCCATTAGAACTAACATTAGATTAGATTGGACTTTGGATGCTTTCTATTCAGCAGGAGGTACTACTAAATTTGTTGACAGAGTAGCTGCATCTCTCGGAATTCATGCCTCAACTATCAAGGTAGTAGCTGTTTACAAAGGTTCAGTCATTGTTGACTTTATCATTGTCCCAGATGATGCAAAAGTAACTGCTACTTCAATTCAGACTGGCATTTAAAATACTATTAAATCTAATCCCACTGCCTATGGAGCACCTGTCTTGGATGCATCAGCTGGAGGCACAGCTGTAGTAACTGGTGGAAAGATCATCAATAATACGAGCACAGGTGGTTCTACTACTACAGGGGAAACTGTTACTGTTGGAGGCTCAGGAAACAATGGTGGAACATCAACACCAGTCATTGACACCTCGAACAATCCCAAGGTAATTGTCCAATCAGGCGGCTCCTCAGATAATGAAGATTAAGTGAAACTAATTGTGATATTGGTTGTTATCGTGGTTGTCATCATAATTGGAAGTGTAGCAAGCTACTTCATCTATCAAAAGTACTAGAAAAAGCAAAACCAGAAGAGTATCAATAAGTTGAAGGAAGGAACTGAAGCAGTCGCTTAAAGTTCAAGAGATGCCTCAGGCTTAGGTGATCATGAAGTGTATGAGCCCTAATACCACCCCAAGTCAGTTGACATATTTAAGGGTCAAATAGAAAAGATTAACGAGGCAGATAATCTTAATGACACTGAAAACTTGGATGATCAAGCTTAAGATAATGGGGTTGATACTGACCATAGTCAAGTCATAGAACATTAGAAATAGTATGAACATTCCCCTTTGAACACCTAATCAAGGCCATCTATTGATGCAGACTACCCTCTAGCCAAGAAGAGATCTTCCCTGAGACTTCAGAATGAGAATGACATCAAGAAAGTCTACC